CATCCTTCTACATTAACACGCCATAGCAAACGTAGTGTAGCTCTCTCCAAACCTAGCTCTCTCCACATAGTGTGGAGGGGGTGCTTGGTCTGCGACAGTGGTTAATGTGTACTGAGACATTTGTGTCACCTTTGCAGCTTCCTTCTCTGAGAATCCCTGCCTTTCACAGTCTCTGCCAGAAGGGACCGACTCAGCAGCCCTGACCCACCCCATTACATTGGGAGTAAACCCACGGACACCAACCCTCAGATTCTCTGATGATTTGGGGGCAAGGTATAAAGGCCAGGCCAGGCTGTGGACTGCAGCGACAGCCCCAGGCTCAGGGAGGGCTAAGGCAAGCGTCAGAGCAAGCCAGAGTCAGCTACAGCAGCATTGCTTTGTAGAGTTTCTTAGCTATAGCCAGAGAGGTCAGAGTTTTCGGGGAGAAGACATTAGGCATGCTTTTAAAGGACAGAATTAGTCGGATCAAAAACAAAGATGAAGATGAATGAATTAGAATGCAGCTGTGGTGTGAAAGACCTTTCTCTCCCAACCCTGGTGCCGGGGAGCCCAGCTAGACTTTGCTTCTTGCTTGTAGAGGTCTGTGGACTCGCTGGCTTTATCTTTACAGTCCTCTCATTGTTTTAATTTCAGTTACTTGGAGCCAGGTTTGATTCCTAGCAACCAACTGTCTCTGGTGAAGGGACAATCCCGTCTCCTGGCCACCAGTGCTTTCGGCTCCGCACTGCTCTCTCCTGTCAGGAAAGAGACAACCTGCTGCTGTTTGCTGGCCTTCCAGGAGCGTTGTAGAGAAGCAGGATGGCGTGAGGGCCACCTGCAGCACCAGGAACTGACAAGTCACTGTGTGCTTTTGACAGGCAGGGTAAGGGCTCACTACTTACTGCTCGCGGTCTCAGCGGAACCCTCCCTTCTCCACTGAGCACACTGCGCATACCATCCAACACCCTAGTGATGGGAATGCTGTGGAAACACTGTCTGCCGTGGACTTTGCACCTTCACATGGTGCCTACAAGACCCAGCACTCTTTAGTTGATGCCTGCCATGCACACAGTATAATCTGAACACCTCGCGCCTCTGAGCCCAGTGTTCAGAAACATGCCTGTGCCCTTTGCCACACTTTCTGTGCTTTCGTCTGCCCTTGGGTCCAGCTAGAATTGTTTGAAGTGTATCGGGGACAGCAAATCATTAGTTTTTCCTTGGACAAAAGAAAGAATTGAAGGAAGGGAGGGAAGGAGGGAAGAAAAGAAAGGGAAAACCTGAACTTGGTTCAGCCTCATTCGCAAAATGGTGACGATTGGAAAGGGCTTCCTGAGCTGGCATGACCTGCCATCTGGTTACTCCCAACTGCTGTGCTTTGGGCCAGCATCCACTCCCAGACCGTCACAAATATGCTCTCTGGGGAAAACCAGCAGAGCAGTACATTCAGATTAGTGCAGATTTAAACGCATTAACGCGGTGCTCCTGAAGGCCCGTCCTGCGCAGGGGTACCATTCACTGGGAAAGGGCCAGTCCCACAAATCACACCTAAGACCAGCAAGGAGAAGTAAAATTTAAAAGGCCCCTGCAGAGGACATGGACAGAAACTGACAACTATCCAAACACCGCATTAAGGACAAGACGGCTCAGTGGGTGGACTCACTGGCCTTCGAGCCTCACAACCCGATTGCTAACCCTCAGTCGACCTGGTAGGAGAGAAGTGACTTAGGCAGATTTCCCTCTGACCTCCACACGTGTGCTGCGGCACAGACATGTGCGCACACACGTAAATAAATATAATAAAAATGTTTAAAACACTGTTTACAAATGCCTTCATTCATAAAAAGCTGCTTCTCCTGACAGGCCTGTCATTACCATTTCGTTGCTCTGTTCTATGTCGTTAGAAGCAAGAATAATATTTCGAACACTGGGAAGTCACGCAGAAGTAAGAGAAAATGATGTTTTTGGCATGCTTTGTTCTCTACCGTATTATGTCCTTGTCTTTTCTGGTACAGTAGTAGGATTTATTTTCTAAACATTCCTGCTTTGCAGAATGAATCACTGTGGATGTTGGGGACCAGATGAGTCATCCATCCATCATCCTCCTTCCTCCCTTCCTTCCTTCAGCCATTGTCCTTGTTTTCATCTTCCTTTCGCACACCAATCATCATACTAAAAGGGACACTAGGTGTTCTTCTATTTAAAGCACTTTCGCTTCAGTTATGTTATTTGGATCCTAAGTAATAAGGTGCAGTTGCTATTAACCTCGTCGTGGCTCAGATTCTGTGAAAAGCATTTATCTGGAGACTTGAGTCCTGTGCAGCCTCCCGTTGCATCAGCCAGGTGCCTTCCAAATAGGAGATCAGTTTAGGAAGGAAAGGTAGGAGAGAATGCGTGCTGGTTGTGCTGATGGATCTGTTTCCTCTTTGCTTGGTGTTGCAGTAAATGCCGACTTAAAAAGTTGTTTTTCAAATATGGAGGCTCTTAAATATCTAAGATATTTTATTTATTATGTTAATTTGGGGACACAATTGTTTATTCTTTGTATTCTTTTCAAGGTGAACAAATGTAGGTAGTAGAGGAAAAACACTAATTTTAGCTGGACTACAATTGGGCTGGGGTTGCCACCTAGGCAGGGGCATTGACCGTAGACTCAAAAACTGATGCTGGTCACTGTGATGTCGCTGGTGTGTTGAGTGACTGTCACTGAGGGGGCTCTCTTATGATTCAGCTTCCCTTTCAGTAGAAGATTCCTCCAAGGCCTCGTGGCTCACTTTAATTCTCATTGGCTGATCCTATGGCTTATTATTTGATGCAAGCCATGCAGCACAAAGCTTCCCAGTCATTATGCATTTAACAGCCATTGCTTGGAAGCGACTGTCCATCCAATGCAATCGTCATGAATCCCTTCATTTCTCCCATCCTGCCTATGTCTATACGGGGCCGAGTAGAAATCTAGGTGTATTGCTCATTATTCCCAAAAGGAGAACTCATAGAAATAATTTGTCTCCTCCATCTAAAGTGCCCTAGAATTGACTCTCACATAGTATCGTTTGACTGCACCCCTGCTCATAAACCACTGCCCAGTGCTTACCAAAATATTTGTGCATCATCGGCTTTCAATACTTGAAATCAGTTCAGTGCTTGGAAAACTGAGTGTGATTCCATGTGGAGGTTTTCAGATAGAGTGTTTCAGAGAGTTTTAGATGTGCTTTGCCATTTTTAGTGCAGAGATGGTGAATTTTATTACCATTCCCACCATTCCACCCCGACACTGTATTGGGTGGCTCTCTGATCAGTGTCCTGTCAACAGCAAGGACTCTGTGATGTCAGGAGACTCTGTGCTTCCTTTCAGGGTCAACATATCAAGCGTTAGGTTGGTAAGAAATAACTGACTCCTGGCAGTTTCCCATGGCTCAGTCTGAAGAGCTTCGGGCTTGACCTCCAGCCTGAATCGCGCAATCACGAATTAGCGAGCATTGGTGAGACTGATTCCTTAACTGCCGAGCCTCGGTTTGCCAAATCAGAATAACACATGCTGTGTGGAGTTGATGTGATGGTTAGCAATTACATATAGAAATACTGGGTCTGGCCTGGTGGTGGTGGTGCCTGCCTTTAATCCCGGCACTTGGGAGGCAGAGGTGAATCTGTGTGATTGAGGCCAGCCTGGTCTACAGAGCAAGTTCCAGGAGAGCCAGGGCTACACAAGGAAACTCTGTCTCAAAACAAAACAAACAAACAAACAAAAAATACTGGGTCTGGAAGTATTAAACATTCAAGAAATAGTTAATAATAGACTGCTGTTACCAACCTAAAATAACATAGTTTCTTTGCTTTTCCTCTGGCAATTTCTGCATATATGGCAAAGAGGATGGTTGCTATGGTAGAGCAAAATGGGAAATGTTTGTTTGGCAAGCATGATTTTAAAAACCCAAAGCTTTAAAGGCCTTCCAATCCTGTATGCTCTGGTATGTCCTAGTAAGGTCACAGATAAAGTTTGATAGATTCAGTAGAGGATCTAAATAGAAAATGTACTGAAGCAAACCAGGAACAGAGTTTAAAAAAATCAAAAGCCCAGAGTAAAAACATTCTGGACTTTTGGCAGAGGTATTGGACTGACTGAATCCCCATGATTCTATGAGTTATTAATAGTGACTCTTTTTGACGTATTTTAAGTCGATATATATTTGTATGTTGCCATGTGGTATTGGCATGTGGAGACATCCAAGGCTTGATGGTCTATGGAAAACTGTGTAACCCTGGGAGAGAACAGGGAGGTGTCACCCTGTCCTCTGTGACTTACCTACCAGGATGCACTCAGCAACTGCTCAGGGGACGATGGGCACTGCTGCCGTCCCTGGAACACGGCTTCATCCGCTTGGCCAGGAACTGTGATGAAGTCACGAGTCGGAGCTATTTATGACCACCGTAACAGTGAAGGCCTATATTAGAAGGCTGTGTTTACATGCCGTGCAGCAGACTGTGTCCGTGAATCATTTCCCCTGTAACGTTCCATCAAACTGATCAACCAAGTCAGGGAAATCCAAGCAGTCAGTGTCAATGCTGTGATTAACGCCTCTCCAAGTTAGCTCTACCTTGCTGGCTTCCTGCGTCTGAATGTAAACTGACTCCCACACCCTGCCATGCAGCCTCTCCCTTTCCTGGCTACCATGCTACACCTACATTATATCCCCTCCACACAAAACATCAGGTAAGCAACAAAAAGTCCGAGGACAGAGCCCCTGTGTGCGTAATTTAAAAAGCGTATTTTTAGCACACGTTTATTGGCTCATTGTCATCTCTCCATTATGTGGCTTCAATTAGTGACCCTGCTGATTCGTTTGTGTCGCGATCAGTAAAGCCCTTTCATTTGTCCATTTAGAGGGACTTGGGGTTTTAGTTAATTATCCCTTCCTGAGCGCCTGAAGGTCAGACTATTACCTTTTGTTTCATTCTGAAGTTAATCTCCTCATTAAGACTGATAGAAAATGAATAATTAAATATGTGCCATTTTCATATTTCAGGTAATGAGAGGCCCTCAGATCCCAGAGGACACCACAAAAGGAGAAGAGTCAAGAAAGTGGGGAAGACCCTGTCTCCAGCAACCATGTGAGTCTCAATCCAATTATGGTGGAAAAGCTTCCACTAATGTACTTCCCCTAAGCTGAAGCCAGATGAAAATACTACTCACAGGGCTGGGCTCTGAGTCTCATAAACTGCTGTGACCAAAACACCCAACAGACCGACCTCAGCAGGAAGCTGTACTTGCTTTCATAGTTTCAGAGAGACCTCGGCCTGTCTTGGCGGAGAAGATGTGGTGGCAGGAGTGTAAAGCGGATGTTCACACTGTGGTAGATGAGGAAGCAGAGGCAACTAGACCAGAATGGGAGGTGAATACAGCTCAAAGGCCTGTCCTGAAGGACCTACTCTTCCATCTAGGCCCCATCTCCTAAAGCAGTGGTTCTCAACGTGTTATGATCGATCCCCTTGGGGATCAGCTATCCTGTATATTAGATATTTACATTATGATTCATAACAGTAGCAAAAATGACAGTTATGAAGTAGCAATGAAATAATGTTTATGGTTGGAACTGTATTCAAGGGTTGCAACATTAGGAAAGTTGAAAACCACTGTCCTAAAGATGCAAATAGTACCAAAATCTGGGTACCAAGTACTGAAAATATGAGCTTTGGGTGGGGGTCATTTTGTACTCAAACCACAAAAGCAGGGAACCTTTGACATACAGGTTCTCTCGGTTGGGGGTGTGATAACTATATCCAGACGTGTCTCACGCAGTAAGTGCAGAATGAGTGGAAGTGCATGCTGTGACAGCACCTGCTGGCTAGCCATAGAAGAGCTTCGTGGTGACACAGACAAAGGGACTGAGTGGTGTCAGTTGCCAGCCTCCACCCACTTACAGAGCGTATAAGTCCCCTTTGATTCACTGTGCCAAGTAAGGGTGAATTGTATTAAGCTCTGGATAAGAACCCACGTCTTTAGGGTGTGAGGAAATCCAACTTGAACTAAACCTTTCAGTTATGATCAGGGGATCTTTTGGAAGCTGAAGCTATAGAAAATAGAAAGATGATAGACGTGACCCACAAGGCCACAGCTGTGGAGGGGAGGCAAAGCCATCCACAACAGCCTCCAGGGTACAGTCTGAAGTCCTGCCACACTGCCAGACATCATCCATCACCCCAGCCCTTCCTTTGCTTGTTTTCGTTATGGAAGCCCACTCAGCCCAGACCACTCCAGTGCCCTGCCTCTGGCTCCTGTCTCATCGCATTGGTTTTCGTTGAGGTATCTTAAGCTCATCCCAACTAAGAGTATTCTCAGCCCTACTGAGGAAACCCTGTCCTTCTAGGAAACATCAAGGTGTCTTACTGGTTGCTTTTATTTGTTTACTCAAGACACAGAAAGTTCCCTAAAGGAAGAGCAAGTCTCAGCTGAGTCTAAAAGATTCAATATTTGACTGACAAAGACAAGCAGTGGGTGCTTTAAGTGAGGAAGCAGTGTAGAGTCTCAAATATGGTACAGAAACTAGCCCCATAGGGGAGTGATGATGGCTAGGAGGACTCAGACTGGCCAGCAGGAAAGGTCTAGGAGCTGGACCAAGGTCTGGGATTTATCCTGATGGTCAGTAATGTCAGTGTGCATTGCTATGGTTGTAGGAGTGGTTAGATAATTTGACAGGAAGAAGAGGGGAGCAAAGCTTGTTGTAATGCAGCCCCAGAATGAAAAGGGAAATAAGATGCATTCGACCAGATCATTGATTATATGAAAAAGGGGTGGCAATTACTGCTCAGAACTGAATCTTAAAATTTGCTGTATCATTCATTATTTTTCTTTAAGTGGTCAACCTTAGTTAGACTCTTGTAGGAAGACTATGTTGTTCCTTTACATGAGGGTCTAGGAAACAGCCTCTCTAAACTGCTCCTGCAAGAATGTGTGTCACAGGGGAAGCGCGTGGGAGCGTGCACGTGGATGTGTGTGTGTCAGAGGAGCGGGCACATGGATGGGTGCTCAGCCACACAAGCAGTCTTGTGGCAACCTCATTTCATCCTTGGGTGGAAATATTTTCTAGTCTTTGAAAAGCATTGGATGACAGAATGGGAAAATTGTATGATTTTTAATTGAGTGATGCATAGCACTGTTAGAAAACCAAACCTGGACAACTTCTATTTCATTGTGTCATGTTCTGGAGGAATGAACAGGACAGAAAAATAAAGCCTCTGCCCAGAACCAAATGTGTCTTAGTTACTGCTAGAAGGTAGGGCTTGGACTCACAAGAGTCCTGGATAACTGTTTGATGGCCAAAATAGGAACGGTGATGTCAAGAACTGTTTAGTTGGACACATGCGTTGCATTCCTTGTGTAATTGGAGGCTGTTCATTCAAGCCACCCCAGACTGGGTATAATCACACAGAAACTATATTATTTGCATTACTACTTGGCCAATAGCTTAAGTGTATTGCTAGCTACCTCTTATATCTTAAATTAACCCACCTCCATTAATCTGTGCATCAGCACAAGGTTGTGGCCTTCTGGCAAAGTTTCAGCTCTCGTGGAAGCATTTGTCTCCTGCAGTGGCTATGTGGCTTCTCCCTGACTCTCCTATGTGCTCTCTCTCTCTACATCTCTGTTTAGATTTCCCACCTGGCTTTACTCTGTTAAACCATTGCCTGAAAGCAGCTTTATTCATTAGCCAATAAAAGCAACACATAGACAGAAGGACCTCCCACACTGTTTCCCCTTTTCTGTTTAAATAGAAAGGAAGGTTTTAACTTTAACATAGTAAAATTACATATAACAAAACAGGTATCAAGCAAGTATTATAGTTACATTATTTAGTCCATTTACATTTGGCAAATTAAGGAAAATACTCTTATCACTTATCTTTTTGAGTCTAAAATTTTATATCTAATCTATCTTTTATAATTATAGCTCTTTTTCTTTAACTCCATCAAAGACTTCAGAAGGATATAATATTACCTAAGTAAACAGGAAGTGCATTGTAAGCAACTTCGAAAACTCTAGAATTGACAGAGACATCTTACTGCCTGGACAGTCACCCAAAGTTATTCTGTAATGTTGCGGGCACCCATCTTCAGCCTACAGGCCATTGTATCTGGCAGACTTTTCCATGAAGGAGGAAATTTCGAAGACTATTTCATCTATATTGGTAGCTTGTCAGTCACTTTCTTCTGTGTCCTGCAGAATGTCTGGTAGACTTTTTCATGAGGCAGGAACCCTGAAGGACTGTATCACCTTTAAGCAAGTTCAGCAGTCATTTCTTTATGGGTCCTGCACTTCCAGTTCATATAGCATAACATCAAGCAGTCCAGGCAAGAGCAGTTTCTTACCCAAATGGCTAACAAACTTCTTAAGGAGCCTCTTCGGTGCCCATCATCTCTTGAAGTAGATTGGTGCTGTCAGGAGCAGACGTGTCTCATTGTCATGAAAAGTTCTAAGTTCTTAAAACATTTGAAATGCCATATTCTGAAGGTCTCTGAAAGTTTTGAAGAATACCTATCTAACTGAAACTGTATATCTAGAAAACCTAACTAACATGACTACAAGCTTGACTATTATTGATGACTATTAACCTGTATTTCTTAATTATACATTACATTTTTAAATGAACTACACAAACACAATACTTTAATCAAACAGAAATATTATAACAAAGTTGATCTAAAATTTGTATCAGCAGACCAATATCCGTACCAATGCAAAGTATTAATATCTAGAGCATATCCCCCTTTAAATGTAAACAAACATCTATAAACAACTGTTTAGGGAATTTGGGAATTGTTGTCTAAACTAGTTTCTGCTGATTGGAGGCGCTGTTATTCATGGGGTATCCTGTGTGGCAGGTCCATCTCAGCCAGCAGTCCTGAAGCTGTCATGGATGTTGGATCTTCTGGGCCATTGTTTTAGGGGCTCTTGTTTGATTTGATCAAACCACATTAGTCTGGATGGAATCCACAGGTTCCCACACAAACCTCATTGCAAGCATTACATTTGTCCGTAGAACTAGCCGTGAAGTAAGCCTTGTATCCATGACCTCTTCACTCAGAGTGTGAGTGGGAAGGAAAAGAGGTCCCTCTGGGAAAACACAGTCTTCAGACAACCCCAGTAGTGTGAAGGTTGGGTGAATCCCTTGCAGAAGGATCAGCAAACGTTGTTCTCTAGTCCATCGTGTGGACACAGTGAGCCTACACAGGGAGTCCAGCACTCCCTGCCCCCTAGGAATCCCTTCTCCATCTTTGAGGAGCCCCCCCCCCCCCCCCCCCCCCCCGCCACAGAAGCTTCAGTTCTGTTCTCCCTGTTACCATGGTTTCATGTATTGAAGGCCTGGCTCCCTGGCTAGGGTTGCTTGGGCAGGTTATGGAAGCATAAGAGGTGGGGTCTAACTGTAGGAAACGGTCACTGGAATTGCAACCTTGCCTCTATGTCTCTGTCTCTCTGCTTGTCTCCCCCCCCACACTCCCCCTGGCTACCATTAGGTGAACAACTCTGATTTAAGTGCACCCTTCTGCTGTGACATGCTGAGACCATGAGCCCAAATAAATATTTTCTCCTTTAACTAGTTTCTCTCTGGTATTTGCACAACAACAAAAGGCTACAGAACACACCCTTCTTCACGCTCCTCCATCTCTGCATAAAGCTATAAGAGAAAAGAATTCATCCTGTCAAGACACAGTCCCTTCCTTCTCTGCCCACTCTTGTCCTTTCTCAGTCACCGCCTTTCACCCACGAGAAAGTGTCTCCACTTCAGGCAGAGGAATGCTAGGTCCTGCTTCCTGTGCCCCAGGCTGCAACCTTCTCTCAATAGGGATACTTCTTCCCCATTCTGATAAGGAAGGCCCCCGAAGCCAGCTATTCTCCTGCAGACACACATGTTATTTCATCCCCATTCTGAGAAGGGATGTCCCCAAAGCCAGCTATTCTCCTGCAGATAGACATGTTATCTCTCCCCCATTCTGAGAAGGGATGTCCCCAAACCCATCCATTCTCCTGCAGATCCCCACCCCCCACTTCAGTGGCCTGGCCCGGTTTGAGGACACGGGGAAGTCATTAGGAGACACTGTGGGGCTTAACTTGG